AGGAATGCGGAGAAGTCGCGGGTGGGGAGGCGGGGCGGCGGGCGGCGTGCGTGCCGACTCCTGCCCGGGCGCTCCAGGTGCCCGCGGGCGGGGCGCGCTGCAGTCGCGCGGCGGAAGGGGTGAGTGCGAGGGGGGGGAGGGGGCGCTTCCTTGCACAGGAGACGCCGTGACCGCTGTCGGGGAGATGGAACCTGGGAGGGAGAGTGGAGCATCCTAGGACACAAAGCGGGAACTCAACTGTCTCATCCTAGTCTTGCTGGCTAGGTGCATGTATGGGCATTTCAAGCAGAGACCCGGTGGTACCAGACTCTTATTTTCTTCATCCTACGAAAGCCAGGGCAAAAGCCATGACTGTCGGGATACCATCAGCTGTGGATGGAGAGCGACCCTGTGTAACTGCCGAAAATGACCTGGCCTTGAGTTCTGGCCCCAACCTACTCAGAATTCAGGCAAAAATAGTCCCTTATACTTACTGCCTTGTTAAGGAAACCTGGTTGTTGTCTTGCTCTAAGACTTTTCAGGAAGTCTTGATTGATGACATGTCTCAGATGTGGGGAATAGGGGTCTTGAACGATCTTTTAGCCAAAACTCACAGGCACTACGTCACTGCATAAGAATGCTCATTTTAAAGTGATAAGAAGTGGAGGACTCAGCTCCCCCAGGGCTGTGAGCCTCTTTCCTTTCCAAGCATCTCTCTCCCACTTACCTCACCACCCACTGCCTGCCCCTGGACTTCATTGCTGTAGAACTCTATGGCTAGAAATGTGACTAGGGAGAGGAACACAGCCTGGGAGGGGTGACTGGGGAGGAGGTGCAGAGGTAGCGAGGCTGCAGGCTGGAAGGGTCCTGTGTAGTTCAACCCCCACCCCCAAACTCCCCTTGAAGAGGAAAACCCAGAGTTGATAATGCTAAACTACTTTGATCAAGGGAGACTGAGTGACAGGGCCCATTTAGCAGCTTCCTTTTGAGGCCCAGGAGAGGTGACTGGGAAAGAAGCCTCTGGCTAGACCATCAGATCCAAAAGGAAGAAAGGAACTCAGTGCAATAAAATGGCAGGAAGAAGCGAGGTGTGGAACCTAGGTGCTGAGTTAGAGGAGGCGGAGAGACAGGCCCAAGCAGTTTCCTCTCATCTTCTGTAAAGCCCAGGGCTTCCCAGAGAATGGCTCTGGCAAGACCCCCTGGCATGACAGGCTTGGATCAGATCTCCCTTTCCATGAGGTGACCATGTTTTGAATTCAGAGATGGGGACCTCTTTTCCTCTGACAGCCTGTACAGATGCCTTGTGCCCCCAGCCCCACCATACCAGCCTTCTCCTGCTCCAGTAGGCCCCTCTTCCTTGGCTGCAGCCTTGCCCAGCTGGCAGAGGGTGGGAGCAGGACAGGTCTGGGCCCATCGGGTGCTGCAGCTGCTGCACAGGCTCCCAAGCCCCTGGGCAAAGACTGGGATGGGCCCCAACAAGTAGGGAGGGTGGCAGTGTGCCGAGGGGGGAGAGGCGGGGCGGGCCCCGTTGGGATCTGCTCCCCAAAGGCAGGCCTTAGCCCTCACTCATGGGCCTGGAATTGGGGAGTGGAGGGAGGAAAGAACACACCCAGGAAAGGCGGAGGCCAGAGCCAGGTGTAGGTATCTTAGCAGAGGATGTTGGGGAAGAGCTGTTGAGCTCTGTGTCCCTCCCATGATAGAAGGTGACAGGAAGAAGACGGGTTAAGGTTCTGCCACCCTCCTCCCCCCTTTCCTATGCAATGCTGGTCCCTGGAACACACCCTGCATTCTGAGCAGCCACCTCCCCACCAGCGTCATGTATGCGTGGTCTTCCCTGCACAGGGCTCTCTGCTGAGCCTAGTCCTCCATCCTTGAAGCCTGCGGCAGGAAGAAATTCTAGGGCTGAACAGTAGCTTGTTTTACAGGTGGGGAAACAAGTCCCAGAGAAGCATTCTGGCCTAGTCTGCTTTCACCAGCAAACTTTTGTTTGTTTTTAGATTTATTTATTTATTTATTTTTATTTTTTTGCCATAGGATGCATGTGCTACCCAGGGAGAGACAGAAAGAGATGGAAAGTGATAAATCACCCCCCCAGAAGGGCTGGCCATGCTCCAAACCCTTCTCCACCATTCTCCTCTCAGGATTTTGGGCATGCCTGCACATGCGCCAAGGTGATTCTCAAGCTGCTCAGTCTGGGACTCAAACTGTGGAGTCGGCCATGTGGGATCCAGCACCTTCGCCACCACACCGGCTGGCTCCTTTCCTACAAGTTTTTTGAGTCTGCTGTTGAGACCTTAAAGAGTGGCCCCTCTGTCTGCCCCACACACTGTGGCAGGGACCATGCCTTGCCTGTTTATAGTCTTCTCTTTCCAACACCAACTAAGCACCTGAAGGCCAGGGACCCTTTCTCTGACTGTTCTCAGTACTGGGTACTCTGCCAGGCACCATGCTTAGAAAGTATCTGTTGATTAATCAAGTAAATAAGAATGGAGCTGCCCCGCCCAGGGCTTGCTGCATCCCTTTCTGGCTATCCTTTCTCCTCAGAAGGGAACCCATCAGGAGCGAGGCCGTGTCCTCTGGCACATCAGGAAGGAGTGGTCAGGAAAGCAGGGGGAGTGGGTATGACACTGATGACCTCTTCTCTCCCCAAAGGCACCTGTATCAAGTGCAACAAAGGCATCTATGGGCAGAGCAATGCCTGCCAGGCCCTGGACAGCCTCTACCACACCCAGTGCTTTGTCTGCTGCTCCTGCGGTGAGTGTAGCCCCACCACTCAGCACTCTGCCCCAATTTAGCACTGCCCCCGCCCAGCACTCTCCCCCACCCAGCACTCTCATCTACCCTGCACACTTACAGGTGCTTAGGGGAACAGGAGCAGAGCTTGTGCCTCTAAGCTTGCCCACCGAGCAGCTGGCAGCTGGCAGGTCCCTCTCCAAGGGCCTGGCACTCCACAGCTGCCCCACCTCCTCCCCTGCTTCCCCTCTCCCTGCTCTACCTGGCTCTCCTTCCCCTGTGGTGGCTCTACTTTCTGGAGTGCATCCTTCCTCCTCCAGCCTCCTTTCTCTCTTCTATTCCTCCCTCTTTCTTGTGCCTCCCTGGTTGCCCAGCCTGGACTCCAGGCCCTCTGGCCTCTCCTTGGTGGGGTTTGGTCTTGGGCAGCCAGTTGCCTGGGGCGACTGTGAAAGACTGGAATGTGGGAAGGGCGGGAGTGGGCTGGGGGAGTAGGGAGCCGTGGGGGGCGGAGTGGGGGGTTTTCTCTTGGCTGGTCAGAGTTCAGCCAACTCTCCAGAGGGCAGGCCACCAGGCCCTGCCAAGCCGATGCA